GGGAGTGCGCGTGACTAGAGCAGGGAGGGGTGGGTCTTGTGCATCCGCCAGGCTGGCCTGGCCACAGTCAGCCTTGAGGACGTAGAAGCGGAGACGGTTCTGCACAGAGGGGAAAGTTGAAGCACTGGTGGGAGACACGAGCGACAGGCTGCTCCTTGACTGCTCTGCTCCCAGGTGTCAGTCCTTCCCCAGGCCCAACTGACGCAGGGGTCCAGGAGACCCCCCGCCTCCACGTTCTCCCAACAGATTGTGCCTGGGGGAGTCCGAGTTGATTTCTGTTCCTCATCATAAAAAGAACCTCAACAAAGGCCACAGAGAAGCCCAGGCCACTGTTGGCGGGGGCCCCTTTCACTTCCCCAGAGGGGCTGCTGCTGCTGCAGGGCTGCGGGGAACTCTGCCCACCGCCCCTGGCTGGACCCCCATTTATTCTGTGCCTCAGTGAAACCCCAAAGCCACAGAGGCAATAACAAGAAAGAAACAGTCAAGCCTCAGCTGCCCCCTGGAAGCCCAAATGGGGAAGTAATAGGACATTCTCACCTTTCACAGAGGAAGAACCTTTCACAGAGGAAGAAACTAGCGACTTCGGGGACCCACTGAGCTTCCTTGGGCCACAGTTCTTCATCTGGAGAGCGTGTGTGGTGAGGGGGACACACAAAAACTGGGTCATTACAGTGAAGAGAGCATATGTCTAACACATAGCCTGTTCTCAAATGTTAGTTTTATCATGAGAAGAAATTCTGGGTAGCCAAAAAAGGGATTCTGGGGAATAAAACATTTCTGGGCTTACACTGTTTAAAGCACTTCTCAGAATGCCTGGTACATACGAAGGTGTAAGAAATGGGAGTTGTATGAAAAATGTTTAATGCTGGGACATCTAGAAATGAGACAAACTCAGGCAATCAAAACCATTGCTTTTGTTGGTGGTGGGGCTGTGGGTCAAATGCTTCTGCTTTTTACTGAGAATTCTAGCGCTGTACCCAAATACCGTTGTGCAATGAAATCACTGATACCTTGTTTGATTAAAGATTATTATTTGCTGACCAGTTAACAACTCACAGAGAAGGTGATCACTGGGTTTGGGGGGGGAAAGGGGGTGGTGGAAACAGGGGATCATGAGAAAGTGTGGGGAGCATGGAGGCAGGAGAGATGGGTGAATAGAGAAAGAAAGAAGAAAGCCCCCCCAGAAAGTGGCCCCCTGACCAGAGCAAAGGCATCTATTTTATTTCATTTGTTCCTTTATTTATTTGCAAAACTGGTTCCTCAGTTATTTTCTTCCCAGAGCACTTCTCTGGGCAGACCTGGCCAGACCACAACATGAGAATTGTTCTGACTTCAGCTCCTTCCATAGGCTCCTCACATCACAGCCCAGGGAGGGGATGGTGAGACCTCTGTCTCCTGAATGTGTGTGGTGTGCAGTGGGCCAGAAGGATGCCAGGAGGGGTTCTCTGGGATCTAAGAGCTTCTGTGTACTTCCTGTGGTCGGAAGTGGAGGCTGCTTGTTGCCACCAACGCTCCACCCCCACTGGGCCTGACTATGATCCTGGGTTCCGATCCCAGCTTTGCCATCTGCCTTCTGCTTGGCTCAGGAAAGACGCTTTCCTCTCTCTGGGTCTCAGTTTCCCCGATCTGAAAGGGAAGGTGTTGGATTAGATAAACTCAGAGGGCCTTTCTAGCTCGGGCAGTCTATAAGTCTCTGAGGTCCCTGAACGACTGGGGAAAGGAAAGAGACAGGGGCAGGAACCCCAGGGTTTCCTAATTCCCCCCACTTGGGGAATTGGGGTAAAGCAAACTAACCTCTTGGTTACCAAAATGAAGGGAAACTGAGGCAGTCCCATTCCAGTGTCTTCTTCCTTTCTACCTGACTGCAAATTCCACTTTTCTCACTTTTAAATAAGTAAAAGCCAGGTGGACAGTCACCATAAAGGTAAAGTCTCTAGTTTTGCATTCTTTGCTTAGATGCTCTGGATTATGTCCTAGGCAATGACACAATCGAACACGGACTGAGGAGTCCTACTGTGCTATAATGGTCTGTTATGTATCCCTCTCCCATGAGACCCAAAGCCCTCCAAGGGCAGAGACTCAGTCATATTTAGCTGGGAAACATGAATAAATGTTAGAGGGTCGAGGGGGCTCCTTTTCATCCTGACTGTGAACCAATTGATATGTTTGCCAAAGAATAAACTTTCATCTTTACTTCTGCGGAGCTTACATGTCTTAGAGACCTTGGCTTAGAGCTTCAGATGGGCTTCCAAAAAGTGAACCCAAATTAGCTTTGTGCATCCAGTTGCAGACAGTGCAGGAAACATGCAAAAATTTCCCCATGTGAGGTCTGTTCTTACAAAACTGGGTGCATGAAGCAGATCAAAATGTGTGCTCCCAGAGGGAAAGGAAAGAGGAAGGCACAGACCTCCACACCGCATGTTCCTTCCTAGACTCATAAATAATGCAAGTTCTACTTCTTCCCCGAGGAGGCTTGAAGGGGTGAAGACAAGTCCGGAGGTTATACAAATGGAGGTTCCTTAACACAGAAAAAGATATCACGGCTGTGCAAGACGCATTCTCCCCTGACTGCAGAATTCTAGGCACTTACCAAGCACTCAGTGAGCTTCATTCAGAGAAGTGGATATATATCATCTTTTTGTCTGTCCAGCATCTGAGCCTTTGCCTGTGTTTCCTTCACCCACCAACAGGGAGGTAGAGTGTGCTTCTCCCTACAGGGGATAAAATAACCAAGAGGCTTACATTCTAAACCCTCCTTGAACTACAGTGTAGACCCATGGACTAGTATTTACCAACCGGATAACTCTGGCTTTGAATCATAACACAGTGACATATGTAAAAAGCAGGGACCAAGCAGAGTCCATTTGAGGTAATGGGGTCATGGGGGCCGCAGCTCCAGCATCTAATTTCTGGGGGACTGGCAGTGCAGGGTGGCCCCAACAGCAGCAGAGGTGGTGTTCCCTAACTGGACCAGTTCTGCAGCATGATTTAGGGTGTTACTCTTTGACCGTGTGTTCCGGTTCTATGGCTCTGGTTCTCAAGCCCCCTTGAAGAGTCTGTGAGCTACATAAAATTCTCATTGTAAGTTCCTTGTCTGCTCTGATCAGCCTGAGCCAGTTTCTGTTGCAAAAAATTAGACCCTGGGGAGGAATCTAAGGATTGGTTATTTGGGCTCGTTGGGACCCAGGGCAGTGAACATTCAGTTTTAAGCAATGGGACTCTGACAGACAGACAGACAATGGTAAAACAGTCAATCGGATGAAAACTTCTAGTCACCTGGAATGAGGTGCCCACTGAAAGCAAAGCTCTAAGAAGCTGAGCGGCTATGTGACAGAGAGTAAAATGGGCACAGAGACTTCGAGCTCATACCCTAATTACTTGGCTCAAGTGTCCACCTAAAAGCTAAGGACCTTTTATGACTGTGGTCGAAGAATCTTGAATTTCTTGCAGAGGCAGGAACAAAGGCAAGAGGTAGGTACTGGAGCCCAGGGCCCAAGGTCAAGCAGTGGAAGCCAGAACTACGGCAGGCTTGCCCTGTAGGAGCTGGGGCCATGGAGGAGCTGCAGCTGCCGTTGGAGGTGCTGCCAAAGCCGAGAGGGGGGAGAAGGCATGTCCTGGCTTCTCCTTTCTCCTGCCCTCAGCTTCACACAGAGGCAGAAAATATAACTTGCAGGCATCAGCTTACCTGCGATCGGGAGCAGAGGAAGAGGAAGGAGAGAAATGGATCTGAGAACCAGGCCCAGAACTGGTACAAATGGAAAACCTTCTTCCTCGGAGTCTAGAGATAGAAAACGGTCGTCCGATTCCAGTATACCTAGAGGGCGATTACAAAGTCGAACTCAAGAGGAGAGGCGAATACGGGTACCGCTTTGCTCATTTATATGGCAAAATCTAAAACACACACGGGGAACTCGCCCCTGACGGTGCTGGACCAAGGAGAGAGAAACACGCTTTCAGACTGTACCGAACATACTGGGGCAGCAGCTATTGGTGGGTCGCCTTGAGAATTTCAACACTTGCTTTTAAGCCCATGCTTCGGGCTAGTTTAAGCCTGTACTGAAGTGTGACTCGACGGGGTTCTCTGCTGTACACCCCGTGCGATCTGTGTCACAACGGCAACCGTCTCCCGCTTGGGTGTCCGCGGCTCGCTGGGACCGCGGAGGGCAGCCGGGCCCCTCGCCCCTCCAAGCTGGGGCTTAGCGGATGCCTGCGGGCGAGAGCCAGGCCCAGAGAGGTGAAGTGCACGGCTCAGGACAATGGCAGAGAGGGATCCTGGACTTTTGGCCCCAAACCTTGTGCTCAGAAATACTTGTTTCCTCACAACAGAGAAGTGAGACCTGGGTCCTTCCTTCCACAGGAGTACTTCTGCCTTTCCCTGACCCTTGGGTCCTGCACTCTAAGCATCTCCTAGCCTGGTCCCACCCGCCCAGCAGCCCTACAGTCTGGAAGCACTGACGCTCCTGGGTACCCTGGGGGCTGTGGATCCTGTCAGTGCTGTGAGTATTGTGTGTGTGTGTGAATGGGGAGGAAGGGGTCTGGGTTCCTCTCTGGAAAAGGGAGGGGAGCAGAGAGACTGAGGCTCTCATTTTGCTTGTCTATAGACCAGACGTGGTGCTGAGATGGGAAGACATTTGCTGCTGTCTGGTCTGCTCCTGTCTCTTCCTCTGACCGTGGGCTGGACCATTTCCAACTGCTTAGTGACAGAAGGCTCCAGGCTGCATCTGGTCTCCCATTTCTTCCTATGTGGCTTCAACACCAGCCTGCTGCAGCTCCTTACAGAATGCACCGGGGTGACCAACTTGACACGCGCCTTAGATGTTGTGCCACAGAGTGTGGAGGGGCTCTGTCTCACTGGTTCCATTTCGGTTCTGCCCACCGATGCCTTCTCCCACTTCCCTGGCCTCAAGGCCTTGGGGCTGAAACTGTGTCTCACCCATATCCTTCCAGGAGTCTTCAGGGGCTTAGGACAGCTGCAGCAACTGTCTTTCACACAAGGCCCTTCAGATGACCTCTTCCTACCCCCTGATGCCTTTGGCAGCCTGACCTCCCTCCAGTACCTAGCTTTCTGGGGCATTTGCCTGGATGGGAACTCAGGTGTCCGGTTGCCTCCCAGTCTACGGCTGCTCAGAATCAATTGGAGTTGCCTTCAGAATGTGGGGAAGCTGGCTGACATCTTCCCAGACCTGGTGCTTGGTCCCTCCTCTGGCAATGCTTGGACTCTGGACCTGCTGGACTTGTCATTAAACAGGCAGCTGAAGATGGTCAGTCCTGGAGCCCTCCAGGGCCTCCAACTGGGGACTCTGAAACTGCACCACACAAAGATGAAGGCAGCTGCACTGATGGGACTGGGCCTGCAGGGGCTGGATGCCCTGTCTGTGATGCACACTGACATGGCCGAGCTGCCCGCTGGGACAGTTGCCCACTTTGAGCTGCAAGAGCTGAATTTGGGATGGACACGGATAAGGCACATAGCTCTGGAGGCCCTGGCTTCCTGCCGAAGCCTAAAGAACTTGCGTCTTTCGAATAGTGGCCTGACGGACCTGCCACCAGGTTTCCTGGCTGCCCTGCCCCGGCTTCAGAGACTGAACCTGGCTGCCAACCAACTGAGCAGTGCCATGCTGTGCATGAATGGGACAGGGGCTGTGCCAGGACTGCGTTTCCTGGATCTGTCCAGAAATGGGCTGCAGAGCCTGCCCCCAGCCACCTTCTCCTGTTTGCCCCACCTGCGGGAGCTGCTACTTAATGGAAACCAGCTGGTTTGGCTGGAGGGCCAGGTATTCCAGGGCTTAAGGAGGCTGGAGATGTTGAACTTGGGTAACAATCCACTGGTGGCCCTGGGCGAGGGCTGGTGGGTTCCTCTGCCTGCACTGACCACCCTAAACCTGCTGAATACCCGCATTGTGCTGAGCTCAGCCTGGGACTTCTGGGGCCCAGAGAGTCTGCAGGACCTGAGGCTGCAGTTCCCCACTGGCCCTTCTGGGGTAGCTCTGTCCCTGCCCATGAGGCTGACTAGCTTGGAGCTTCAAGCAGTGCCAGGCAGGAAGCTTTGGAAGCTGGCTTCTCCTCTCTTTCCAGTCTTGCAGACCCTGACTCTAAATGGCTGGGGGCTGCAGCTAGAGACCCAGAATGTCACCAAGATCTTCCCTGCCCTTCACCAACTCTCCTTGCTTGGTAATAGCTTGGAGGCCCTCTGCTCCCAGGACACCTCCAGCTTCTTCCTCTGGCAGCTCCCCAGGCTCCAGTATCTGAGGGTGGAGGGGGATGGGCGCAGCCCCAGGCCATGCTGCATCACTGGGCTGCCCAACCTACAGGAGCTGAAGCTGCAGAAACTGCAGTCCCGAGCGCGGCCCCGCCCAGTGAGGCTCGAGGAGCTGGTGGGTGAGCTGCCCAGGCTCCAGGTGCTGCATCTGGTCCAAACAGGGTTGGAGACACTATCTGCTGTTGCTTTCCAGGGCCTGGGAAGTCTCCAGATCTTAATGCTAGACAGGGAAGCAGGCCTTGTGCTGGATGGCAGTCTCCAGGACCACAGTCCTCAGATGCCACAGTACATGTACGTTCTGAGTTCGTCCTTGGCCTGCCAGTGTGCCAATGCCTGGGTGGGGCCCTGGCTCGAGCAGTCCCCCAGAACATACGTGCATATAGAACAACACCAGCTGTGCCAGCCGGAAGCTGGGGGCCACCGCAGGAATCCCCTCTTCCCCTTTCTCTGGAGTCACTGCCCCAACACTTTGGGGTTGGAACTCTTTTTGGGCAGCTCTGCCCTGCTGTTTCTGCTGATCTCTTTGCCCCTCCTACAAGAAGCCAGGAACTCCTGGATCCTCTATCTCCAGGCCTTGTTCAGGGCTTGGCTTCAAGATCTGAGGGGTCGGAAGGGTGAGGGCAAGAGGTTCCTCTATGACGTCTTTGTGTCCCACTGTAGGCAAGACCAGGCCTGGGTGTTGCAGGAGCTGCTGCCTACTTTGGAGGGCAGCCAGGGGCTGCGCCTCTGCCTCCCTGAGCGGGATTTTGAGCCAGGCAAGGATGTGGCTGATAATGTGGCAGACAGCATGGCCAGCAGCCGGGTCATGCTCTGTGTGCTGAGTCGCAGGGCTCTGCGTACCCCACGCTGCCGCCTGGAGCTCCACCTGGCCACCTCCCTCCTGCTGGCCGCTCCCTGCCCCCCAAAGCTACTGCTGGTCTTCCTGGAGCCTGTCTCCCGCCACCAGCTGCCCCGCTACCATAGACTGGCCTGGCTGCTCCGCAGAGGAGACTATTGTGTGTGGCCAAAGGAAGATGAAAGAAAGGACGACTTCTGGGCTCAGTTGGGGAGAAGGCTGGGGCAAGCTGGGTTGGGCTAGAGTGAGTACAAGTATGCTGGAGGGTGGGGATAGGATAGGAAAGGAAAGCCAGCCTGGCAGGGAGACAGTGGGTATGTGTTAGTGAGACGGAACTGAACTTCTGGGAGGTGGGGGTGCTGTGTGTATAGGGAGGATGGATCGACTGGTGGCTTTGGGAACATAGGCTTTGGGGAGGCTCTGGAGGCTGAGTGAGAAAAGTCGGGGGATGGCAGGTGGCCATGAGGTATGTGATGTGACTCAAGATGTCCATCCAGATCCTCGGTAAATTTACTAGCTACATGAAATGATTGGCTTAGTTGGATTTTTTGTTTTTTGATGGAAACCCACATGAGAATGAGGGTGAGGGGGTTGGGGTCATGGAACCTGTAGCCTGGAGGAAATAAAGTGGGAGAGTGTGGGAAAGAAAGGCTCTGAGTACCCCTAAGCTATGGAATGCGGTGCAGGCCAAGTTCAACCAGATCTTCGAGGGGCAGAGCGACCCCTTCTGCCATATGGGTTATAGAGGAATTGGCAGGTGAGGACCAAAAAGCTGGGATGCTGCCCAGGAGGCAGCAGACTATTGCCTATTCCCTTAATGAAAACATGAAGGCACAGTCATATCTGTCACCTTGTTTGAACGTCACAGCAACACTGGGAGGGGAACCCACCTCCTTGGCACTCTGTGCTTCAGTCCTGCTAAACTACTTGCAGCTCTCAGGACACCATGCACTCCTGCCTCTGGGCCTTTGCACGTGCTATTCCTTCCTCCCAATTTATTTCTTCTGGGGAACTACTATGTAGCCTTTACGATTTAGTTTAGCCATCACTTTCCCTAGAAGCCATTTCTGACTTTCCCAGCCTCTGCGTTCCCATAACTTCCTGCACTTCCCTTTCTCAAAGTACTGGTCACACTGTACCAGTCCTCACAGGTCTGGGAGCCCCCAAAGCAGTGGTCTCCAAAAAGGGGTGCACAAGATGAGCTGCTGGGGTTTAGGAAGAAAATTTTAAACTTTTACTTGTGTTTTTTTCATATATCATTTTATTCTGAAGCTCGCCTGCCTACTTTTTAGCCATATGGCTTTGTTATTTTACCAAACCTCTGCACCTCAGTTTTCTATTCTGTAATATAGGACAGTATTACACCCTCCCTCAAAGGGTTTTGTGAGGGTTAAATGAGTTAATATGTATGAAGCACTGAGAGCAGGACCTAATGCACTGTACATATTCAGTAAGAGTTAGCTTTTCATGCAATTATATATATACTACATGGATATCATTTATAAGTAAATAAATACACATATGTTGGGAGTGTGTGCTCAAAAATGTCTTACTAACAGGAAACATTACTAATTTACTAATAGAAAGCTTGATCAGGAAAGTTTGGAGATCAGACCCTGGAGACAGGGACCAGGTTTGATTCATCTCTGCATCTTTAGAGCCCAGAGCTGGCCCAGAGCAGAGAGGGTCTTGAAGACAATTATGGACAGAGACAAATCTTGATGGATGCTGAAGCAGAGAACTGGGGTCTGGTTCAGGCTCTGTTGTTTATTTCTATATGACACTGGGCCAGGGAACTTGGCCTCTTGGGGCTTTAATATTCCTCTTCTGTTCAATGCCAGGCTTTAAACAGACAAAGGCTAAAGGAAACCATAGAACAATTCCAGGCTGAATTTAGGGTGAGGTGCGCCCTCTAGTGTCCTAACGGTGTATTTCTCTCTGTGCATTCTCATCTCCATTCCTGTCTGCAGGACAGATGATCCTGAAATGAATGTCCTTACCTGGCCCTGCAAAGTTGCCTTTCCAGCATCAGATCTTGACACACTCTCAAATGTCTCCAGCCCTCTCAATACCTCACACTGCAGAACTGTCTCTCTCTCCACTCACTTCACACCCTCCGCATCTACTGGTGATCTTTTCCTTACACAGTGTGGGGCTGAGAAGGAACCTTTGGGGTCACATGCCCTGGTACTTACTGGCTATCTGATCTTGAGTGGGTCACTTCAACTGTCGAAGCCTCCATTTCTTCCTTGTAAATTGGGGGTAATAATACCCACCTCACAGGCCTGTAAGACTTCAATAACAAGGGGTGCTTATAGGTTGCTACTCCTTTCATGAATAAAGCCACATGAGTTATCACTATAAATAAGTTGGAACATATTTCACAGAAGAGAAGGACTTTGAACTAGGTCTGTAAAACTAAGATATAAAATTCCCCAAATTTTAACATGTATTGAGCACTTGGCCATATGCCAGATACTGTCAATTTCCCCAACTTCTCATAACCATTAGTAAAAATAATAGCTAACTATTAATAATAGCTAATTATTAAATTCTTTCTGCTAGCCATGTGCCAAGCTCTTTACATACTTTTCTCCATTTATTTCTCACAAACCCTATCAGGTAGATGACATTATTTTAATTCCCGTTTTATAGATGAGGAAACTGAAGCATAAAGAGGTGAAATAATTTGCCCAAGGTTTCACAAGTAGTGAGTGGCAAGACCTACATCCTGCATTTGAAAATCAGTTTCAGACACAAGCAGCTGGACTCGAGTCCATGCTTTACCTGAATTATCTCATTTAATCTTCACAACACCTGCAATGTTGGGGTCTATTATATTACCTGCGTTTTAAAGATGAAAAAACCCAAAGACAAAAGAGACGCGGCAATTCATTTAAGGCCACACAGCTAGGAAGTAATTAGGCTGGAATTTGGATCCATGTCTCACTGCAAACCCACCCTTCTCAACCCCATATTAGATTGCTCATACCCCAATGTACAAAGCAACTGCATTTATATTAAAAGTATTCAATTATTATTCTAATAATGATTAACATTTTTCCAACACCCATGAGGTACCAAGCTCTATACTAACTGATTTACATAATAATAGGTAACATTCGCTGTGTATTTTTAGGACCCAGGGCTTAAGTTAATCTTCTTAGGTGTACTATTCATTGAAAGCTCACAAAAACCTGTAGACTCAGATGCTGTTTTTACCGTTGAAGAAAGCGAGGTTCGCAACTGATTCAAAGTCATGCATTAAAACTGCAAATTGAACCTGCAAATTGAGCCGTAAATTGAACCTACAATTGTCCAACTCTCCTGCCCACGAGCGTGGTCACCTCCAGCCACCCACCTTCCCTTGTTTCGACTTGGATCTCGGTCGGGCTCTGTCTCTCGCTTCGCCCCTTCAACAAGCCCCGCCCCTTCAGCTTGAGTGCCCGCCCACTGGACAGTGACATTTCCCGGAGCCTGTGGAAAGGACCGGGATCGCAACAGGCCCCGCCCTCCAGCTTAGAACCTGTTCCGATTTGTTCCGGTGCAGGAGAAGGGGACACATCTATTGGTTGGAGGCGTCTGAAGGGCTGTAAAAGGAAGGGGCCGCTCACCCGCTTTCGCGCGGTTTCTTCTGGGAGTTGTAGTCCCAGACGCTCCATTCCCGGGGTGGCGCCGTTCGGACTCCGCGTCCCAGCATTCCCTGCGCGAACCCTGGAGCACTTCCGCCCCGTTGTGAAGTGGGTGTCTCGGTGGGTGAGTCCGGGTATCGGAGACTTAGGCTCTGGGCTGAGACTTGGGAGGTGATGGTGCCACAGGGGGCCGGGGGAAGGGGAGAGGGGAGAAAGCAGCTTTTGTGTAAGGGTCGGGGGTTGAGGGGCGGTCAGAGGATGAAGCGTCCGGAGATGGGAAGGGTCCCAGAGGGATTGGGGCTGAGGAGGGAGAGAGAGGGCCCTGGGAGCGAGGGTGGCCTTAGTCCGTAGGCGAGGACGCGGAGAGAGGTTCTGGCGGTGGGAGGGTCGTAGAAGGGTCAGGAGACCACAGAGGGAAGGATGCAGGCAGCTGGGGCCCTGGCAGGGAGTGAAGATAAGAGGGCCTGAGCTGGAAGCCCAATCTTAAAAATAGTGGACCGGCCTCTACCTGCGCACCTAGAACAGACATCTGATTGATGCCCCCTTACGTTTTCTCTAATGCTCGTGACTTCTGGAATCCAGTGGGTGGGACTGGCTATTGTCATCGGCCCTGCGCCTCTTTCCTTGTGCCTGATGGAAGTGAGTGGCACTTTACCCAGGTGCCCTCTGATTTTTTGCAATCTTCCACGTCCAGGGATCTTCAGATCTTTCCGTTTCCTAAGTGTGTCTTGAATCTGCCCTTTCCTTTGTAGGATTTTTGCTGAAGCCTCCACCTTTTCACCACCCAGCCCGGACAAGTACAATGTAGCTAGTGTGTGTGCACTGATGTGTTTGCATCACAAACCTGATGGTGCCTTCTGCTTTAAAAACTTTCATTGGCGCTCATCACGGATAGAATTAGGTCCAAACACCTCAGCCTGATATTCAGGATCCTTCATAAACTACTTTGCAGCCTCATCTTCATGTACCCCACACTCCAGGGCTGCCAAGGTTTTCCCTGTTTCTTGGGGAGGCCCTTTGATTTCCCACCATTACATATGCTGCTCTCTCTGTTTAGAATACACTCTCTCCCCTCCCCAGTCTTTGCAAAGAGCACTATTCTTTCTTCAGGAACCAACTCAAATGTTACTTTGTTCAATTGCCTTAGGCAGATAAAGTTCTGCCCCCCACCCCCAGCTCCTGCAAAACTCTTACTGCATTTTCCACATTTGATCATAATTGTCTGTGACTTTTTGTGTGTGTGTGTGTCTCTTTCACTAGACTGTAAGCATCTCCTGGACACGAACAGTTTCTGAGTCACCCGTTTCCCCATTGCCTAATAAATACTTGATGAATGTGTGAATAAAGACCATCCAGGGTGAGCTTTGCTATACCAGGCTAGAAAGGTGCTACTTCTGGTGGATTCCCAGGGGCATGAGTTTTACTCTTTGGCCTATTAAGGCTGTTTGCTGGAAGCTGACTCAGTGCCTATGGGAGTTTAAGGCAGGGGTGGCAAGTACATGGAATGTGTGCTGCCACTTCCCCTTCCTGTGTCTGGCAGACATAGCTAATTGGTCACAGCACATATTCATGTGGGATTCAGGGTTCTTAGCACAGTTGAATGAAGTTGGTGCTTTAAGTGAAACCTGTTTGCTTTCTTTGGTTCATGCCCTTAAATGTGAGGCCAGGGTGCTTAAGCAATAGCTTGGACCATCAGCCAAATGAACTAAAAAGCCTTTAGGAACTCCCGGTTTTTTTCTCTTTGGAGATCACAGAACAAGTAGCTACAATAATGTAGGATAACACGTATTAGAGGTACGTGCTTAGGGAACACAGGATTGGGGAGGTGAATCTTGGAGAGCAGGGATGGGGCAGGGTATGATAGGAGCATGTCAAGGAAGTTTTAACAGATGAGGTGACATTGAGCTGATAGCTGAAGGATGAGTAGGAAGTTGCCAGGTGGCCAGGAGTTGTGTTCTTACCCTCTCCCTAAGAGTGCGGTCTTTAGGACATGCCTTTGATTTTCATCACTCGTGCCTTATTTCTAGACAGTGCAGTCAGATGGCCTGAAATCAAAATACCACCCTCTCTCCATTCTCAATTCCCTCCATTCTCAACCTATGTCATTCCCACGTGGAAGCAGCTGATAGCATTTTTTATGTTATCTAGATTTGTTGGGAATGACACAAGGGCTCATTTTCCCAGATAACCCAGATTGAGTGTGGTCTTCATTGTGTAAAAGAAGCAGCCCCAGACCTTCACTCAACAAGCATTTACTGAGAGTCTCCTGTGCTTAGTGTATCATGCTTACTGTGGGTGTGGGGGAGGGAAGGGTGTGAAAAAAAGAGAAATAAGCAATATCCCTTACCCCGCGGAGGCTGTAATCTCTCTGGGGACACATATGTACACCACCCCCTCTGATACAACCTAGAAAGTGGCAAGTGTCATAGTGATGGAAATAAAGAGGAGAAAAGAATTCCTCTGGCATGAGTAAGGTCATTTGGTCATTTCTCTTTTAAATCTATTTGCACAGAAAGGGCTTAATTATAATCTTTGCTTCAGACACAGCCCCATCATTAGTTGACCATTACTTCACTGTTTATTGAGTGCTTCCTGTGTGTGCTGAGCACTGTGCTAGGTCCCTCAGGAAGCCTATGATCTAGTGGGTGGATAATTATAAAGTATGATCTGGTTAATGATACCGAAAACATAAGGTGGCATGGAAGCTTGCAGCTGAGGACTGAATCTTAGAAATAGGTAAAGAAAGGGAAGAGACTTCCCAAAGGAGACCCCACGTGGTTCAGAGGGCAGCAGGATGCGGGGGCTGCAGGCCCTGCAGCTGAAACACCGTCACTGGTGGGAGCACGGCGAAGAAAGAAGATTTGGGCAAGGTTTGCATTTGATCCTGAGGGAAATGGGAGGTCACTGAAGGGCGTTTCACAGGGAAGGGACATGGTCAGATTTTGATCCAGTCCAGTTCTTGTGCAAAGAATGGGCCGGGGGTTAGGGTGAGGGGAGTGGAAGCAGGGACCTGAGCTAAGATGCTGATCAAGTGATAAATGTGATGATTTGCTGGACCACGGTAATGGCAGTGGGGATGTAGATGGTTAGAAGGCCAAGTGGACACAGTTTTTGACCCACTGAGTTTGAGGTGCCTGAGAGACAGTCAAGTGGAAATGTCTTGCAGGTGGTTGGATTTGGGGGTCTAGAGGTCTGGAGAGAGGTCCTGGCTGCAGTTTTGGGAGTCACAGAGATGGTGAAAAATGCCAAACGAGTAGGATGACCAAGGGGGAGTACAGAGTGAGAGGGGGACTTTGCAAGGAGAGCACTTTTACTGAAGACTAAAGCTGTAAGGCCCAGGAAGAAAGGCCTTCCGGAGGGGGTGATATTTGGATCCCAGCTTGAGGGCAGGTCAGACTTTGGACATGTGTAGAGGGGGAATGGCTGTGCTGGGACCAGGTCACGGAGGCCTCGATGCCAGGCTAGGCATTTCGCGTGTCCCAGAGGATTTAATACTGTGCTGTCTTCGTCCGGTGTGCTGGCTGCCGCTGTCGGTGTGAGATTGTGGTCCAACTCCCTGCTTATGGGACAGGGGTATCGCTAAGCACCCCCACCCCATGCAGTGGCAGTGGTGGGTGTGGGGAAGGGAGGAAGGTGAGGCTCGTGGTCCTCTTGCTCACTCTCCTTTGTCTTTCTGCCATCAGAGCAGAGGAAAGCATTTTCTCTCCAGGAGCCCCTTGAAGGACATACCATAGATGCAGGAAGACGCTGGGTGAGGACAGCCCAGCTGTAGTGAGGCATCCAGGACAGAGCATGGCTGTAGCCCTGGAATCCCGGGCCCAGGCCTCTCCGCAGCCAGAGCTTGAGGAACTCCTGATTGTGAAACTGGAGGAGGATGCCTGGAGATCAGAATCCAGACCTCAGGAGAGCAACCGCGGCGCTGTCCCTGGCCCCGAGGCCTCCCGCCAGCGCTTCAGGCAGTTCCAGTACAGAGATGCGTCTGGACCCCACGAGGCCTTCAGCCAGCTCTGGGCGCTCTGCTGTCGCTGGCTGAGGCCAGAGGTCCATCTCAAAGAGCAGATCCTGGAGCTGCTGGTGCTGGAGCAGTTCCTGACTATCTTACCCAGGGAGGTCCAGGCCTGGGTGCAGGCGCGCCACCCTGAGAGCGGCGAGGAGGCAGTGGCCCTGGTGGAGGACTGGCACCGAGAGGCCCGGGCTGCAGGACGGCGGGTGAGGCAAAGAGTCTGTTCCCCAAAAGTGGGTCAGGCAAGGCAGTGGGGCTGTGACTAGGTTAATAATTACCAAAATAATAATAATTATTGAGTAGTTGACATTTATTGAACACTCCTATGTACCAGGCATTGTTCTAAGTGCTTTCCATGTATTAACTCATTTAATCCTTTCAGCAATTTAATGAGATAGGTACTATTATCCTAGTTTTACCAGTGAGGAAACTGACGCAGAGGAAAGGTGGGTAATTGCCTCTCGTTCACAGATGGGTAGAGCCAGGATTTGAATTCAGGCAGTTTGACTCCAGCACCAGCATTCATAACCACTGATCTTTTTACTGTCTTCAGTTTTGCCTTTTCCAGAATGTCATATAGTTGGAATCATACAGTATATAGCTTTTTCAGAGTGACTCCTTTCACTTAGAAATATGCATTTAAATTTCCTCCATGCCTTTCATGGCTTGTTAGCTCTTTTTGTTTGTTTTTAGCGCTGAATAATATTCCATTGTCTGGGTACAGCACAGTTTATCTGCTTTCCCACTGAAGGACATCTGGGATGTTTCCAAGTACTGTCAGTTATGGATAAAGCTGGTACAGACATCTGTGTGCAGGCTTCTGTGTGGGGCACAGGCTCTTTCGATGGATTCTTTATTCTTCCCGACCCCAGTCAGCCTGTTCCTGGTTTTTTCCTCCTCAGTGTCGCTTGAATGTGCTTCTTTCTGTGTCCGCTGTTCCCGTCCACGGAATCAGAATCTTTCCTGGGGCCTGGCAGTCATTGAAGAAGCTGGGCTGAGAGTGAGGATTGTTATGGGGTCTAGTCACACAGTTCCTCTGTAGACTGTAAGATCGTAACTATAACAAAGCGAGTTGTGTTTTTTAACCGTATAAGAGTGTTGATGAGCAGATGCTTTCTCCCTGTGAAGCATGCAGGACGCTGATGGATCTCCTCATTTGGAATGGCTTTGATTCTCATGGCCCATTCCTATATAGCTTTTTAATGGTAAACATCCTCCTGTCTTGGAGATCAGCCAGAAGGTTTTTGGAGATAAGTTTAGCAAAATCAATACGTTGATGAAGATGGATATTATTATTTTGAGTCAAAAAATAAGCTTCAGAGCAATGTATATAGTTGCTACCTTTTGTGTAAAAATGGGGAAGAAATAATAATATATATTTACAGTTGCTTGTCTGTAAAGAAACTCTGAAAGGACACAGAAGAACAGTGGTTACCTGTGTGTGTGGGGGGGTGTGGAACAGAGATGGGGCGGGGGTATTTTTACTGAATATACCTTTATGTATATTTTCTATTTTTGAACCATGTGAGTATTGAGGATACCTACTGAAGAAATTGAAATACACTTTTTTAAGTGGGGTGTGTCTATCAGGCAGTTGAACTTGTTATATTGTTGGTGTTTTAGAGCCAGGAAATAACATCTCAGCCTCCACCTCTGAATTTGCAACCAACAGAGAGAGAGAGAGGGAGAAGAAATTAGTTTTATGATTGATAATGCTGAGTTGGGTAATGCCATCTAATACCATCTCTTAATTATTGCCTTTTATTTTATATATATTCTCTATATCTCTGAGTACTTTTTTGCCTGAACTTCTACACTGAAATTAAAATGGTCTCTTTGGTTTTCCTTTTGAGTCATAGTCCCTTATCTTTGTGTATCCTTCTGTTTTAAAAGTAGATGTGCCTTTCCAAAACTTTTTCATTTTAAAATTCCATCTGTAATTCTTTGTCCTTTCTTTTTCTTTTCTTTTTTAAAATATTTTTTTTTTTTTTTTTCAGAGAGAGAAAGGGAGAGAGAGAGAGATAGGAACATCAATGATGGGAGAGTCATTGATCAGCTGCCTCCTGCATGCCCCCCACTAGGGATCGAGCCCGCAACATGGGCATGTGTCCAGACCAGGAATCGAACCTCGATCTCCTGGATCATGGGTCGATGCTAAACTGCTGAGCCACTTTGGGTGGGCAAGTCCCTCCTTTTTCTTATATTCAGTTTTAAATTTTCTTTGTCTTCAGCAGGACTACCTAGAGTAATTACACCAGAGTTATAGTCGTATCTGTTTTTATGCTTTTCTTTGCTTTTTAAATGTATGCCTGGTAACTTTTTTTGGATAACTTTAAAGTTAAACAACTTGTTTTTGATGTTGAGAGATTATTTTTTAATGTCATAAAAATTTTACTTAATTTATCTCTTTACGATTCAAAAATGTTTTGGACAGTAGTGGCCTCATTGAGACATTTATATAGCCTCCCTGTGCTGAACAAGCCAGTAGGCATTAGTTGGTATAAGTGCTGGTCTGTTTACTGCTGTCGGTCTGATGGCTTTATCATACTTTGAACCATCTTTGGGTCTTAAAAAGAGCCTGTTGACCTCTGGATCACAGTTATGCTCAAAAGAACATTTCCTGCCTTACCAAAATTGGTCTTATTGAACTGACAGTTGGGAATTTTGGCTGTCTGTGTGCAGGAACTGGAGTTGTGTGGAGAAGAGACCAGGTCCTTAAAGGCAGTGCCAGAATCTCAGAGTTTTCAGCGGCAATCAGCGGAGCACTGGCCCAAGAGACAGCCCCAGAGGCAGTGGGTAAGGAATCCATGCCCTGATCTTCCCAAGCATCTGGACACGAAGATGGCGTCCCAGGCCTTGAAAGAGAGTGGTGAGTGCCACGAATCAGGGAACATTAAGGAAGAGGGCTGAGAAGGGTGGTAAGGAAGGGTACACGGGGAGGCAAGGGACAGATAGTGCCTGATGGACACACTGAGAAGTAAGCAGGTAAGGAAGCACTGCAAAAGAAGATGAAGCGCCCAGTGATGTCAGCCCGTTCCCTCCAGAGCTGAGTCATGCAGCAGGTTCAGGCGGGGACTGGGGCGAGGTGGTGATCATAGGAGTTCTGGGCTGGCATCTCACACATGGCACATCACTCAAGGTAGCTTAGGAGCTAGACACTAGGAGGGAAGGAAAAGGGGAGGTTTGCACTGTCCGAGGGATAGTCTCAGTTGACCCAAGCATGGCTTTTGGAAGGGTGGGCCCGAGCAGGGGTGGTTCTCTGGATACCAGAGCTTGGGTTTCAGAGACTTTTTCTTCTCCTCAGCTGTCCTCACTCCCCGAGTCCCTACTCTCCCAAAGATGGGGAGCATTGGAGATTGGGAGGCGACAGCTGAGTCCCAGGTAAGCTGTTCTTTTTCTCCTTTTCTTGTCATTACCTCTCCTGTGCTTTTGCCCTTTTGCTCCAGTTCTTTCTCTGTGGCCTCCCCTCAGCAAAAGGCCACAAGGTGCAGGGTGTTAGTTTCTGCCCCTGGCCCCCAGTCTGCTGGGCCTCTCCTTGGTCATGCTGCTCCTTACGATGCTAGACTCACACACAGTGTCTCTGTATTCTCATTATCTTTCCCATTATCTTTCCTGGGGCCCAGTAGAGTTCCCAGGCTGTTTTCAAGGGTCAGTGACATTTGGGGTCCTTCTTTTGTTCATTGCACAGGAAGCCCTGGGTCCCGGCAAACGTCCCGAGAAGGAGTTTCGCAAGGTGCCCCCAGGAGACAAGTGTGGGAACGGCGTGTCCCAAGGTAAGGAACTGGTACCCTCTGAAGATGATGCTGGGTTTCTGTACACTCAGTTCCCAAAGAGCATTTCATCACTCCCTAAGGCTCGTGCCTCTGTGAAGTCGAAGGAATTTCAGACACACGAAGAAGACAAGCTTTTTGTAGCCAACATGTGGTGACAGGGATGGAGTGTGGGGAGTGGAATCAGCCCAGGTAAAGGCTGGCAGGTTGGCTTCCAAGAGCCTGCCCTCTCAGGGCTCATTCCCTTCATTTCCTCAGTACATTCACCACGGTGCAGGGGCTAGACCCTCCCTGCTGCCGCAGAAATCCAAGGTTTTCACATCAAACAGGATGTATCCCTCAGGGGCGGACTGAGTGAACTAAGCCCGTGGGACTAAAGACCGTGAGACTAAACCTCAGGGCTCAAAAGGCTTGAAGCCCATATGACCAGCGCAGACTCCTTTCTCTGTAGGCACATCTACACAGGAAGCCAAATAATAATGAACCACTTCCCATTGGAGCTTGGGAGTTAGACATGTGAGTGGGTAAAGTAGAAGAGACAGTGATAGGTCTGACTCATTCATTCCAGTAAGGTAAGGCTCTAGAAGCTTACTGGCCCCTCGCTTGATGGCGTGACCCCCCCCCCCTTTTATATGTGATACCTGGTAAAAATAGCGTTCAGAAGAACAAACTTTGGGAAATGCTGAACTAGATCATCGTTAGGCCTCTTTAGCTCTAAACTCTTCTAGTTTTCTTCAAATTTTATTTAATTAAAGGCTTTCTATTTGTTAAGGTTGGGAGCTACTGGACAGCAGTCCTTTAAATGTAACTGTTATAAAAAAATAAGGAAATTTGTTTTCTCACATTATTTCACAAGTCCAGAGGAGAGCATGCTCCAACCACAGTACAAATTGGCTCAGCAATGTCATGGGTTCTTCCTTTCTCTGCTCTGCCATCTTCAGTCTCAGCTTTATATTAAAGCTATTATGTTTCAGAGTCAAGAGATAGATGCTAATGGCAGTTGCGGCCACAAGTTTTCCTAGTAAGAGAGATTCACACCACATACAGAGAGAGAGAGATCTGTCCTCCAACCACTGAATTAATTCTTATTGGGCCAATTTAAATCACATGCCCATCTGTGGACCAGTGACAGTGACTTTTTTGTATGATGTATTTCATTACAACAGAAAAGCAAATGAACAAAGCAAACAGGTCAATGAACATTTCTGATAAAGTGATCCTGTTACCCCTGGTTACCTCCCTCTAAACCCCCCCAACCATTTGATGGGATTAGCATGGGAATTTCTCGTTAGCCTCTCCTAGGGAAACATGTTTCAGGGACATTTGGACACAACTCTGCTCAACAAAACATTCTATCATTTCTTCTTTTTATATAGGAGTTCTAGTTTCAAAACCAAATATCATCTCCCATCGAGAGCAAGGACCAGAATTTTGGGGTCCTAGTCTTATAAATTCTGGAAAAAGGAACACTACAGATTACAGCCTCGGTAACGAGCAAATAAAACCAGCCCCAGCACTGGCCTGGAGGGACTCAAAGGCCTGGGAGGAACAGTACCAATGGGATACGGAGGACATGAAGGTGTCGGGTGTGCATTGGGGCTATGAGGAGACGAAGACTTTCCTGGCAATTTTGAGTGAGTCTCCTTTCTCTGAAAAGCTCCGGACTTGTCACCAGAACCGCCAGGTGTACCGGGCCATTGCAGAGCGGCTGAGGGCACGGGGCTTCCTGCGGACATTGGAGCAGTGTCGCTACAGGGTCAAAAACCTCCTTCGAAATTACCGGAAAGCCAAGAGCAGCCACCCACCGGGTACCTGTCCCTTCTATGAGGAGCTGGAGGCCCTGGTGAGGGCTCGGACGGCCATCAGAGCCACAGACAGCCCAGGAGAGGCTGTGGTACTCCCCAGGCTGGGGGATAGTGATGGAGAGATGGAAGAGCAAGAGGAAGGGAGCTGGGAGCCAGAGGAGACAGTAGAAGACTGTAATGGTGATGACCTGGCCTCTGGCCAGTCCATTCAGGGGCCCAGGATTCCAGGGGGTCCAGCTCTATTCCAGAGTCGTATTGGTAAGAACATAGGCATTTAATTGGATCCAGACTCCAACCCTCCTATTATCCAAACTCTGCTCCCTAAGTTCAGTCTACTAAGTTCTAGTAGATTGGTGCTACTAGAGTAAGGCACTAAGTTCCTTCACTCATCCTCAGACTCCTACTGTCTTCTCCTATGACCAATTCTCAGTGTACAAGTTTTCTTAGCTATAGAAACAGCCACTTTTAAAATCCTAAGGGACCTTAAAGAGCTAATTCAGTATTTCCCAAAGTGTATATAAGGATGATCATAGGTGTTGCATGAGTACACTTTTAATTTTAATATGTATGAACACATTAACCATGATTTCATAGGTAGTAAATTTAGGTAAAGAAAGATTTTGAGTGAAATATTTAACAGAGCAGAAATCAGGACAGTACATAGTTGAATAATTGGTGTTTGGGAAACACCCAAATGATTGTAAAAGTGGGAACACTGAAACCTAAGAGATTAAGTGTCTTATCTCAGGATCAAAGGGAGGCAGGGGCAGAGTCGGGGTAGAGCCCAGGGCTCCAGCCTCCACCGTGCTGCTTTCCTGGCTGCATCATGTACCTGCAGAGGAACTGAGAAGAGAACGCTCCCTTCCACTAAAGAGGAAAGAGCATCCTCAGCTGGACTGTAATGCAAGATTATTTGACTCTACTCATGTCTTTAAGTATTCTTAGTTCCCGTATTTGTTAAAAGGAAAATTCATGAAAGGATATATATTGAATGGATATAGAGAGAGTCTCTTGTATCCCAATTATAGGCCTTAGTTGGACCAGTCAGCTGAAGCCAGGGGAGTGGGGTCACCTGGTATAATAGGGCCACCAAAGTCTTCCGCTTTAGGCAAGACTCTTAAGTGTTAATAGAAGGGATTGGGGGTGGGAAGCTCTGGCACAGTCCTGAGAGGCAATGGTATATTCTTCGTTGGTGCCCCAGGTGCCTGGACAATTTCTGAGGTGCCTGTGTTGTAGGCATTTAGCAGGGCAGGTGACCTCAATCCCTGATGACCTAGGCAAGTCCCAGTAAATCTCACAATTCTGACCTCTTCACTCCTGACAGCAGGTGTGCACTGGGGCTACGAGGAGACCAAGGCCTTCCTGACCATTCTCAGTGAGTCCCCATTCTCTGAAAAGCTTCGTACCTGTCACCAGAACAGCCAGGTGTACCGGGCCATTGCAGAGCGGCTATGTGCACAGGGCTTCTTGCGGACACTAGAGCAGTGTCGCTACAGATTCAAAAACCTCCTTCGAAGCTACCGGAAAGCCAAGAGCAGCCACCCACCAGGGACGTGTCCCTTCTATGAAGAGCTGGATTCACTGGTGAGGGCGCGGACTGCGGTCAGAGCCATAGGGACCATCAGAGACGTAGCCGGTCTCCCTATGTCTGGGCAGAGCAGTACAGAGGCTGATGACCAGGAGGCCTGGGATGAGATGGCAGATGAAGATGTCATCAAACCTCCAACCCCATGTCCTAAAACCCCAGACACTGGTAAGCATGGAGTAATTAGATGTGCACAAAATCTGCAAGCATGCAGATAGATTGAGGGAGCCAGGTTCGTTATCTTGTCTCTGGACTAAAACAGAGAATGGAATTGAATAGGAGAAGGATTTGTGCTTTGCTCAGATTATGTCTAGCTCAGCATAATCCTGTAAATGATAGAAGCAGTCAGGTCTAGATTTTACTGGATTCATTGGGGCAGTTATATAGAGAGTTTATTTAATCTCATATGACAGGATGTACTGATTGTACTAGAAGAAGGTGTTCATTATAAAATAGTGGGATAAGGGAGTTGGCCAGGGAGGAGGGCTGGCTGGTTGGTTGGGGCTCATGGCTCCCTTGGTAGGGTCACCAGGTCCCAGACTCCGTTCCTCAGCTTTGCAGGTCAGAAATGAATGTATGCACCAAAACTTGATCAATTTCATGGTAGTCACATTTGTAAGATGTGACATTATAAAATATAAGAACAAATTCATGTTAGCCAAGTTCAAAAGACACAGGACACATATGTATAAATAAATAAACACTAACTAATAAATGAAAAAACCCTACATCTCTGTCCATTCTTTCAGGTTTTGAGATGAGGCATGAGGATGAAGACCAGAGTTCAGAGCAGGATATTTTTGAGGATCTGCCTGGAGCATTAACAAAATGTACTACAGAAGCTGTTTGCCACCCTCACGATTGGGGGGATGACAGTGAAAATGAAAATGAAAGTGATGAGCAGTCAGGAAATCCACCACAGGAACAGTGGGAAGAATGTTCTTTTGAAGGGGACTTAGAAAAACTTATTGACCATCAAGGCCTGTATCTTGCAGAGAAACCCTACAAGTGTGACACGTGTGTGAAAAGCTTCAGTCAAACCTCCCACTTCAGCACCCATCAGCAGACACATACAGGTGAGAAGCCCTACAAATGCCTCAGATATGGGAAAAGCTTTAGTGACCACTCCAACCTCAATACCCACCAGAGAATTCACACTGGAGAGAAGCCCTACAAATGCCTTGAATGTGGTAAAAGCTTTAGTGACCACTCCAGTCTTGTCACCCACCAGAGAATCCACACAGGAGTAAAGCCCTATAAATGTGGGGAATGTTGGAAAAGCTTCAACCAGAGCTCAAACCTTCTGAAACATCAGAGAATCCATTTGGGAGGAAATTCTGACCACTCTAGTGAGCCCAGGGAAAACTTTGGCCAAAGCCCATCCTTTAGTGCTCACTGGAGGAGCCTGACAGAAGAAACATCTCCAGAACATCCTCAAAGTGCCAGTAAGAACTTGAATTCTCCTGGACCGCACAGCACCAACTCAGGGGAGAAACTTTATCAGTGTTCTGAGTGTGGAAGAACCTTCTCCAAGAGCTCGGCCCTCATTAGTCACCAAAGAATCCATACGGGAGAGAAACCATATGAATGTGCTGAATGTGGGAAAAGCTTCAGTAAGAGCTCCACATTGGCTAACCACCAGCGAACCCACACTGGAGAGAAGCCGTATAAGTGCATGGACTGTGGGAAGTGCTTCAGTGAACGCTCTAAGCTCATCACACACCAGAGAGTACACACAGGAGAGAAGCCCTACAAATGCCTTGAGTGTGGAAAATTCTTCCGTGACCGTTCTAATCTCATTACTCACCAGAGGATTCACACGGGAGAGAAGCCTTATAAGTGCAGAGAGTGTGGGAAGTGCTTCAACCAGAGCTCCAGTCTTATTATTCACCAGAGAATCCACACTGGGGAAAAACCCTATAAGTGCTTGGAGTGCGGCAAAGACTTCAACAATAGCTCCCACTTCAGTGCCCACCGGAGAACCCATGCAGGAGGGAAAGCATCGTAGGAGACAACGCATTGTAGGAGACAACTCCCTCCACAACAAAAGAGATACATGTGTATTTACATCTCCCAAGATTATAAGATGTATGGTAGAAACAGTCCCCATTTTTAAGCTTGGTGTATACCCAGGGAAATTATCTTGATATAATCCAGGTAATTTGGAAGTGAATTACAAATGCTAAGGATCCAGATTTGAAGGCACTTTTCTTAAGTGTGATTTGTTTTTCTCCTGTAAAACAATCTCCACCCAGTCCTCAGGCTGTCCTTACATTTGCTGTTGTTTAAGGGCTTTATCAGCATTTGAGCCATACTGGTAGCTTAGGGCATTAGAGGCAAATCAGTCGTCTTGGGCAGTGATTCCAAACCTCGCTGTGCCTTCACACCATCCATGTGTACAACCCCCCTCCCCGCCCCCCCATCGGCACACATCAGATTTTTCTGCATGGCAGTTTTTAGTTAGGACCTATCCTCAGAGGAGAACTTTGAGACCCGGTGAGAGAGGGGCCTAATTGAGAATCTGGCCTAGGGCAGGCCACTGTGAGCTTAGCAAAAAGGAGGAAAAATAGTTACACATTACTCGTATTACTAAGTCATTGTTAATAATAGCAAAAATAGCCAGTATTTATTGTTTCCTCTTCGGCAGGCTCTGTGCTAAGTGCTTTATACACATGATCTCATTTAATCCTCACAACCACCCCAGGAAGTAGGTACTAATATTCTCCTCATTTCCCAGAAAAGAAAAACAAGACTTGGGAAAATGAAGTAACTTGCTTGGGTCACACATCTGAAAATGGCTGAGGCAGGATTCAACCAGACCTGCCTGCCCAGAGCCTGAGGTGTTCTTACCACCACAGTAAATCCCCTCTCATGTTAGGGCAGGTAACTCAGACCAGGATCTCAAAGCACTGTGTAGACTACACGTCCTGTTAAAATTCCCAGTGAATTTTCCCAAAGATGAAAGGTCTTGGGATATTGAGAACTGGCATTATGCTTCGAACAAGGATGAGTGAATTTCCATCTTTACAATAGCATAGGTGAAAGAAACATGTGAGCTGAGGTTGGGGAACACATGTAGCCAAAGTGTATTTCTTCCAATGAGACACTGCTTTGGCTAGGGAAAGGGGAGTTAAGAATTTCCCTTTTCTTGGAGAGCCAGTCCTGCTTCTTGTTACCTTTGGGTAAATTGTTAGTTTAAACGTTACAGAAACCTGGGCTTCCTCACCAGTGTTCGCTCATCCCTCTGTTGTTGCCTCCCTGGCCCCTTTCCTCTTGGCATGGTAGAAGCTTTGTTCCTGTTCCCCAGGTCAAGACTGAGGCGGAAAGGAGGTGGCAGGAGTGGGTGAATGTGCCGTACGCTACTGAGAGGGCTTTGAATATGGTCCTAGCTGAGCCATCTTGTCCCAAGCCTACCCCATACTTTCTAAATGTTGGCCGTTAAGACCAGGCTGCCCTGCGTCTTTATGCTCCGGACTCTGTCGTAGCCCTGCTTCTCCACTGCTCCATCCACTACGTTCAGTTTGTGTCTTTACCACTGTGTAGATGCTGGTGACTCCCAGATCTGGCTCCTGCTTGGGGCTCCCCTCTTAGGAGCTCAGTCATCTGCTGACCAGCCCTACTTGGGTGACTCCTGGGCCCCTCTAGCTGCCATGTCCACCTGCTGCCATCTTCAGCCACCTGCTCAGCACGTGCGTGTACACACACACGTGGGGACTCACAGACATTCCCTCACACAGCCCCAGTGAGCGTTGCACACTCAGACTCACCATAGACTCTGTCCCTCACACGTACTTCTCCCTTCTAAGGGCATTTTCCACTTGGGCTGCGGTTATCCAGCTGCCTGGGAAGGCTTTTTCTGCATGGACCTAGTACCTACTGTTAGGATTAGTCCCGTGAAACATCCTCTTGCCTCAGTTTTGATTCCACCCTCCCTTTGGTTGTCCTTTAGCCCAACCTCTTCTTAGTAGCAAACCCCAATCTTAGTTAAGCCCCTGCCACAGCCCACTATGGGGGTTAGTGCTGTGTTTAGTGGGAAGTCGGGGAAGGCTTTGTAGGAGGAGTGAGGTTAGGGTTAGAGTGACAGACATTTTAGTCGGTGACACAGCTCCTAGCTGCTTTCACACCCCCAACATCAGTATCGCCACCAGCATACCTCTTGCTCCCTTTCCCACTCGCTCTGATTTTAGGCAAATCTGGAATTACCTCCGAGTGCACCTTCTAGGGGGAGAGAGGCGCGGTCCTCCTCACCTGGCCGTTCCTCCGCCACCCACGCTGCGGCTGGGCGATGGCCTCACGTTTCCTTCCTGCGCGTCGCGCACCTGGTCCGCCAGGAACCCTAGAAGGAGCCTGCGCCCCGGGCCCCGGCCTGTGCTGCGCCGAGGAAGCAGCGAGCTCCAGAACCGGTCGGCTCTGCCAGTTCTCAAGGCGGAGCTGCTGCCGAGAGCCACCTGGTTAGGGCACGAGCATGAGGACAGTCAAGGGCAGGCGCCAACGGGAGACTTTGCCTGAGCTCTGTGCAAGTAGAATTGGGGTCCACAGAGACGTCGGTTTCCCATCAGGGCACAGTCAGCGGTTCCCTGCAGGTGAGGGTGACTCTGATCATGCCCGCCGCTGCGAAATACTCCTGGAGTCATGCTTGGTTTTGACGTTTCCACCGTCGGGAAGTACCCGAGAGGGTGGGCCCCGGGAGTAAGGAAATAAGGAAATAAGTCTGTCCCCGGGGTTCCCCTGGTCTCAGGAGGAGAGGCGCCAGGTCAAGGGCTGACAGCCGTTGTCACAGAACTCTCCTGAGAGCCACGGGCGCAGGGAGCCCTACTTGGTGCCAGGTGACATGTGACGCAGGGGAAAGGCTTCTTCTCCCTCCTTCCACATAGGACACGGCTCAGCTTCAGTGTTTTGGGGGGTTCATAGACCAGAGTAGCGTCTGCCTATTTAGAGGCAGCGGAGACCAGCAGGGGAGGTCAGGGTGCTGCCCTGGAGCGTCTGTGAAACGCTTCCTGCAACTTCACCTGGTGGGGTCAGCGCAGGAGACACCCCTACAGGCTGTGCCTGGTAAGGAAAGGGCTTGTTCGCGGCCACATAGGAGGTCCCCAAACCAACTCCACTCCTGAGGTTTCCCAGAAACTGGCGGAGGTGAGGCCGGCCAGGCTGAAGGTCACACTAAATCCATCTGGCATGTCCTGGGGGAAAGAGAAAACACAGGGAAGCCGGGCATTTGTGACTGAGTTTGGCGCTGACCGTGGAATTAGAATGGGTTAAGTTTTGGCCACCAAGGGCTCAGAGATTCAAGGCCCAATTCTAAACCCCGATCAGCGCTCGGCCTGCAGCCTGCGCACCCAGCCCCGGCCTCGGCTGGAGTGGCCTTGTTTCCATGTCCTTGCCCCTTATTTTCCTGTGATACTATGTATGTATCTTAAAGCTCTTCAAGCTCTGTTTTGGGATGAAGTGACCTGGTAATTCAATTATGCTGATTAAACTGAAAAAAAGGGAAAAGAAAAATTAAAAAAAAAGGACCTCGTTTTCTCTGGCATCTTCCCGGTCATACCAAAAGCACAGAGGGGAAGAGGGCAGGTCCGTGCGACTCGGTGAGGCCGCCAGGGAGGCTGGGCCCCAGGTGCTGAATTGCCATCTGCCCCTCCCTGTTCTCCATGGTTCTTCACATGTGGCTGGATGCACGTGACCCACGAGCCACTGCTCCTTGGCCGTAACAGGTGGCTCTGGTCTGCTGGCCGCCTCCACACATCTACATTGATACGTCCCCGAGGGTCTCTGTGCTGGGAAACCTGAGGTATCTGAGACCTACATAGTGCAAGATAATTATGGGTAAAGGAAAGGAGGGTGTTCCCAGAGGGCAGAATCCTTCCTGATGCCTCATTTGCCTCCCAGTTCAGGACCAGAGCCGATACGCTTCATACTTGAGAAAGTTGGGGAGACATGGAGGTCTTTATGGGGACTCTCTCCCCTCCTTTCTCCACCCATTCCCTTCAGGTAACCCAGAAGACTTTGTAGCTCAAGGTAAGCTTTCTAATAAACTGTGACTCTTTATCTTTGTTCAGTGGGGTATAGGTAACTCTCTGCCTTTTAGGTTTTGTTACCCTTGAATTCTGATTGTGAACTGGGGCGGGGGAGAGAGAGGAGAGAGAGGAGAGGGGGAGGGAGATGGAGAAAGATGGAGAGAGAGAGATACCAGAGTTTGACATAATTTTGATCAGGATCCACTGGAAACTTACTTCCTATAGGAGTTGGAATCGCAAGTGTGGGTGTATTACTACAGTAGTGGTTGGAATGCACCGATGTCTGCACATCCTGGGACAAAGATGACACCTGGGAGGAAATGAGTCGTGGTCTCCCTGAAGGAGAAGCTACGGGGCTTTGTTTCCATGTGACTTGTTTGTAGCAATTGCTCCAACAGTGACCAGCTCCACAGGGTCTGCCTTCCTGGAAGACAGGCTAGAGGCCATGGACTCCTCCTCGCCAGCTCTTTCTGTCAGCCATGGTTCAAACAGGCCCAGCAGGGCCCAGAGGTCACTTACCAATGTTGAGGTTGACGAAGGCTGACCAGCCAACCCAGGCAGGAACAAGGAGTCTCGTCAATCCAGGCAGCCAGCGAGCTGGCCGAGACCAGTACAACTGAGAATGTAATAGCCCACCTGAGGGACATGCCCTGTGGCCTGGGGCTGGCTCTCTCTTAGCCCCCATGTCAACAGGCCCCTGGGTGCTCATGCTGCCAGTTCTGGGCTGGACCAGGAATCTGCTTGGTGGGGGCACCTAGTCCCCAGGTAGGCAGTGGGAATCACCAGCTGAGCTCTGGACATCCTTGGGGTTGAGGTCTGAAGAGGAGATGCGAGACATGATAGTTACAGGGCTCCAAGCTTGAGGGAGGAGCCAGGTCAGGGGCAAAGGAAGGCTTGAGAGAGAAGGGGGGGCAAGTCGGAAAGGATGGTGGGTGAACGGAAGGGCAGAGAAACAGCAGGGACAGGTAGGGGGGAGGCAACCGGGATTTGGGGACAGGAAGGGTAAGGGGTGGAAACTGGTCAGGTGTCCTTGGTGTCCGGAGTGGGGCGGGGGTGGGGCGG